ACTGGTCTCTTTTTCATTAATTGTTGGTGGTGTTGTTTTTGGTGTTAATGTGTGTATGTGTGTTCCTATAGCATAAATGCAATCTGCTCAGTACGTAAAACACTACTGGTATGATATAATTTCATGCTGGGAACTTGACGTTATATAATTAATTGGCAGGCTTCTTTATTTTTTACATTATCTCACTTTTCTATTAATTGATGAAAGAAGAGAACTTCATTAGTATTCTACATTAGATCACTGTGAACTCAAGCTACACACTGACACACTGCTGCTTTCTCTAATTTACATGACACTGAATTTAGTTTTCTTTCCCTGACCAGAGTCCACAAATAGCTCTTTAGTTATAATTAACCCATGAAGAATTTGTGCACAAATTCAATCGGATTATGTCAAAAATATTTGTGAGCTTAGAAAATGTTTTAAGTTTTTAAAAAATAGCTAAATAAAATACTGCTACATTGTATAGCCTGAATAGGATTGTGGAACTCAGGTTTTATGAAAAAAAAAAGCAAGCAGCTGAAATGAACTAATACAATAATAGTAAGAAAGTTCTATTTTAATATTTTAAACTACTTCCTTAAAAATATACACTGATATTTTGATTCATTTATCTCTAGATTTTTAAAAAAAATTAGAATGTTAATAGCCAGAATTCTATTATTTAGCCACTTTCTCAAAGTTCTCTTTATCTGAAAGAACTGTTTTATTGTTTAGTTATGTGTACACGTGTGTCTGTGTGAAAGAATAAGACTGTGAATACAGGTGCTCAGAGAAACCAGAAGATGACAACAGATACCTTGGAACTGGAGTTTCAAGGTGGGAACTAGCTACCATTGGCACCGGGAAACAAATTCAAGACTTCTGCATGTGCAATATATACTATTATTAGCCACAGAATGGTCTTTCCATATCCTCTAAGCACCGCTCCTTGTGAACACTGATTAAAATTGAGAAGGAAAGATGTGTTAGGATTCACCAAATGAATAAAATTTTCAGAACACTTCATACTGAAGCTCAAGGCAGGGTTTACTGGTGAAGAACACTAATCTAAAGTCAATAAATAGTTTGATATACTTTTAGACTAGATGTAAGAAATAGGTATTTATTTAATAGCTACTTTTTGAAGAGAAATGTGTTCAAGTGTGTGCTAATCATTAGCTGCACACAAAATGAGAGGAAAGTATTTGTCAGTCATGAATAATTTCAAGCTAATATATATTTTATTAAATATTCTTTTGTATAGGTTCAGATGTTTACACATTTTGAAAATTACCTTGTATCATTTATCCTGATCTTAAAACAAAAACAAAATACACTGTAAGTACTATTCAGAAGACCATCCAATTACTCCCACAGACAAAGCAAATGGCATCGAAAGACTGACGTTATTCTGTAACAGTAGTCAAGTATACACACAATTCTTTTAAATTCTGATGAGATTCAACTTTTCATTTAATAGCACTAATGGGCAGTTGTTATTTTTAGCTCAATGCAGTAATAAGTCACTAGTGTTAGAGTTGTCCTGGCTAGCATGGTGGCAGTTACACCTTTAACTGGATCCTGGTATAAGTCAGGCAAAGCAGCAGGGTGGTTTATATTGTCCTGGCATCTGACCTGTTACTTGAGCTTGTGACCTAATGAAATGTGAGGCTGTTTTGCACATGCAGCCCAGTAGATGTCATCTTTTCTAATACAGTGTGATTATAGGATGCTGTGGACACATATATATCACTTCCTCCTGGCAATATAGCTTCTTTCCATAGTGCAAATAGCACTGCACATTCATCCTGCACCATGCTAAACTTTACATGGTTGCTATGCTGATTTCCAAAGCTAGACCAAATGCAATAGTGTTCAAAAATATTGAAAACTAAGAATTTTTGCTTGCATAGAGATTGAGTAACATATATCTACGTATGTGCCAGATGTGCCTATCATTCACACAATAAATACTTTGTTTACTCTTGCTATTTTTTTATAAAGTAGTTAAGTAATGCATCCCAAGGTTACACGAAAAAATGCAATTAACACTATTATAATGCTACCTTCAAATTTAACTTTAAATAATTTCAGCTGTGATGCTGGATCTGTGGCACATTTGGAAGAGTGCAAGACTTGTATACAAGAGACCCTTGTATTCCCATTGGTTACAACAACAACAAAAACAACAAGTATATCAAGTGGTTCTTCTTACACTAACTAAAATAGGGACAACAAAACTTATGGTCAATAGAGTCTACTCTGGTGACAAAAAGGATAGCTGCCTATGCTATTACTTTCCCTTCTCCTTCCTCAGTGTCAACATCCTGATGATGGAAGAAAGCAATGTGTAGATAAAAATAAGATAGAATAAATCATACATATATTTTGGAATTTTTCTCGTAACCATGAGAGGATGATACACAAATAAAGTAAATTCTTAGTATTTCTGAGAAAGCTTTTGGAAGAGGTCTTTTTCCAACTACTAAATGCTTGTCTTATTCCTTAGTTTCATCTCTTTGACTCTCAAAACAGCATTTTAGTTCTCAAGGAGGACCTGGAACAATAAGGTGATCACAAACACCAAAGTTGTGTAGTAGGAAGAGGGAGGACTCAGGATGAGTTTCTATAGAGTAAGTTCTTCTTCGAGACTGAGAAGAATAAACTATGTAGTGATCTTAACAATTATCACTAGCAGCAGAATAAGCTTCCAAATATGAGAATGGACAACTTTTTATTGCTTATATCTATTTTTGAAATATGATGCCATGGTCTAGATACCATTAGATTGATCTAAAGGAATGCTCATACTCAGCACATCTGCAGGGGCTGTATGGTCAGATGGATGATTGGTGCTTATTCCTTGCCCCAGGTAGCTATCTCTCCTCACATTCCTCTTCTAAATAGTTGCTTATTAGATATTCATGCTGGGTCATCCAGTAATTTCTTGTCTGTGGTCAAATTTATATGACACAATTGAATTTCACTAAAGGTAGTGTTGTAAAATAATTTACAACATGTTTCATATAAAAAAACTGAATTTAGTGGATTTTCCCCATGGAAACCAAATTGCTTACTTCTTTCATATAGTGATATAAACCGGTAAGAGACGCCTATTTGAAATATTTAGCTTTATTTCAATTATCTAGCTTCATCCACATTTTCTGTTATTTGTAATAAACAGCAGTTGCTTTGTCAGAGTTACATATGCCATGTTGATCTCTAGATCAGATGTGAGTCTTTGATATATTTTTGAAGTATTTTGCATATTTGTTAATGTAGTTTTAATATTAGTAAATATGGACTTGAACACTATTAGAATATAAATATATTACATTAAAATAAACTAAAACAGATAATTTCTACAGCCAAATTGCAATAAAATCAAATAGAATAGTAGGTCAGTTATAACATATATTACATAGGTAAATCACTATGTGATATTTCAGCTCACTGGGCAGCTGGCTTAGGACCCTAACATATTATTCCAAAACCCTTTGCCTAAGGATGTGATTGAACCCTAGGCTTGTAACAGGGTACAGAAGATCAGTAAAACAAGCCTAAGAATAAAAGTATTGGGTCCTTGAGAACAACTTGAAGCTAAACTACCACCCCAATAAAAGTTACTATTGATTCTATGATCTAAGCAAACAACAAACGAAGAAACAAACTCTTTAGTGGGAAAAGAAAGCCCAAAGTTCTGCCATGGCAAGATTATCCAAGAATAAATTGTATAATTGGTAACTCCAGCTAATGGCCTCACCTTGCCAGCTGATTTATATTGGATGTTTGTAGACCTCTGATTTGTTGATGTTACCTTCATTTACTCTCTAATTTGAGCTACATTAATCTTCTCTGACAGATGTTGTGAGCACCCTGCATACTGTGTTTATTTTGACCGGAACATCTATCTACTACTAGTTAATGATAATTTTACCTTTGCTTGTTATGCACTTATAAAATCATTTGTTCATAAGCAAAACCACAACTCTCATAAATTCTTCCTGAATATGAATTCCTGAATATATGTGGATGGGACCTAGTTAAATATAATAACATACCAGAAAAGTATTGGTGGCCAAAGTACATTCATTTTTAATTAATCATCTGGAACATACAAAGAAATTGGTTTCATTATGACAGTGTTATACCTACATCATGTCGTTCCTTTTATGTTCTTTCCATCTCTTTACTTTCCCCATTCACCTGTCTTGTTCTTTTTCCTTTCCATTCTTTAGACCTCTTTATACACTAAACCCACTAAATTCAGTCTGTTTTTATGGAGAAGAAACATTGTAAATTATTTTACAGCACTAGCTTTAGTGAAATTCAAGTACTTCATATAAATTTGATCACAGAAAGGAAATTACTGAATTATCAAACATGAATAGCTAATAAGTCTTGTTTTTTGCTTTTACATTCTATATTATATACTGCATATTGTATAATATATAATCTAGATTTCAAGTATCTAGAAAATGTGAAATTTGTTATTCTGAGTCTGGCTTATTTCACTTAACTTAATGACACACACACACACACACTCACAGAATCACAGACACACACACACATATAACAAAGTATTACATATATATATATATATATATATATATATATATGATATTTTCTTTATCTCTTTATCTGTAGATGCACACCTAGGATGATGCCTTATATTGGGCATTATGAATAGAGCAGATATAAGCATGGATGTGCTAGATTTTCTGTGGTATGCTTGCTGACTTTTAATCCTTCGATTCTATACTCAGGAGAGACACAGCTGGATGGTACAGCAGTTCTGCATGTAGTTTTCTAAAACATCCTCATGTTGTTTTTCCAAAAATACTACAACAGGTACTTTCTCAACGGAGTGAATAAAGGTCTTATTTTGGCTGCATTCTTGTATTTGTTGTAATATTTTTATTTTTTTCACCAAACCATAGGGGAAAACAATGGCTGGGCAGATGAGACATCTTCTGGAAGGCTTCTTGGTGTGGGAAGACCAAGATGGCCTGAGGTACCTACATGTTGGCCACTACTGGTAAGGTCTGCCTCTGGTCAGAGGCTCCCTGGGCAACAACACCTGACTGGTCCTGGCTTCCAGAGTTCTCCTGTCCTTAACTGAATGGATCACTTTAGGACTCATAGGTTGACCACGTCTCATTCCTTCTTTTGTATTTTTATGTGGGTCACAGGCTCTAAGGTCAATGTCTGGCTCTTGATAGTTTTCAAGTATTCCATATCTCAATAAAAAGTTGTACCCCTCAGGGCATTTATGTTGATAGCCAGCTATTCTACTCTTTTTAATTTGACCTGGATCATAGGCTCTCTGGTCAGCAATATCTGACTGCTGCCTGTTTTCAATTACTCTGTAACTGTGTGTATGATTGTTCCCCTTGCAAATGGGGAGGTGGCCAAAGCCTCTTCTCTTCACACTGCTTGAAAGTTGGTCACGGGTTCTCTGGGCATTAACATACGACAGTGTTTTTTCTCCAATTTCTCTGTGTCTGTGCCACTTGGGACTCCTATGTGGATAGGGGCCCATTTCACTTCTTGTACTTTGATCTGAGTCACAGGCTCTCTGGTCAGCAAGCCCTAACTGCTGTTTGTCTCCAGTTACCCTGTGCCAACATGAATAGTTGTATCCCTTGGGAGTGAGGAGGCTTTCAAAGGCCATTCTTTTCTTCAGGCTTTTGGAATGTTGGTCACAGACTTTTTGGGAATTAACAATGGGATGTGATTTGTCTCTAATTTCTCTGTATCTTTGTGAATGTTTACGCATCTTGGGGCTTCTATGTGGAGAACGTTCCTTTCCACTCTTTATTCTAATTTCATCTGGGTCAGAAGCTTCCTGGGCAGTACCAGACGACTGCTCCTGGCCTCCAATTCCTCTGTCCTTGATGTCCTCTCTGGGACTCGTAAGTTGACCATGGCCTACTCCTTTCTTTATATTTTTATGCGGGTCAAAATCTTTATGGTCAACACTTGGCTCATGTTTGTCTCTAATTTCTGTGTATTTGAATGAACAGTTGTGCGCCTTGGGGCTTCCATGTGAAGAGCTTCCCATTTCAGTTTCTGTTCCACTTTGACCTGCATCACCAGCTCTCTGTTCAGCAAGTCCTGACTCCTGCTTGTCTCCAACTCTCCCGTAACAACTTGGATGGTCATTTCTCATGGGAGTGGAGTACTGATCAAAGCCCATTCCTCTCTTTGCTTTGTTCAGATGTTGGTCACAGACACTCTGGGGATGAACGCCTGACTGTGCTTTGTCTCCAATTCTGACTGCGATAGAGTGATTGTGCTCTTCAGGGCTGGCGTGGCCACTCCTTACTCTTGCTGGTCTGCTATGGTTTGGATCATAGGATCCCTCAGAAGAGTAGGTGGAATCACCCAGCTGGAATCTCGATGAATCTACATTATATTCTTGTACCTTGGTCAACCGATTTCTGGTGGTTTTTGGTGGGTCATCTGGATTATTTTCCAGGTTCTGGAGCAGAACATTGATGAGGGATTGTAGTTCAACTGCTGTATTATAGATGAGATTTTCTCTATCTACTACCTCCTGTAGCTCAGTAACTTGTGGGGGGCTTTCATTCCTCAAAGAATCCCCCTGCCCCTTGTATTTTGTGCACAGGTCTTCATTTTGTGCAGCATTCCATGAGATAGTTTTCAAGGAGCTTTTAGAAGGAGTGTTTCTTTTTCCTATTACATTAAGGGAGTACTGACTCTCAGTCTTGGCTGTATCCTCGAGCTTAGTGGAGCTTGGGATCGAAGGCCTTACTTTCTCAAGCATTTCTCCCTGGCTTATGTCAGATTTCAAAATAGGTGTTACTTCAGGGGGATGAAATATATTGTCATTCTTTGCTTCGATCTTATCTCTGTGGTCTCTGAACTCCCAATTATCCACACTCATGAGATCACCTAAATCTTGTGAAGTCATGGGGTTTTGGCATCCATTCTGGAAGTTAGGCAGTGAGTTTTGTGAAGGCAAGCTGACCATGGCAGTGTGAACTGTATTGGGGCCATGTGGATGATGACTCATAGGCCAGGACTGTGGCTGCTCATTTGATTTTAAGTCAATATTATTATATTCTTTTATTTTTAGAGCCAAGTCCCCTGAGTTTTGAGGGTTAGATGTTTGGAGATGGCCTTGGCTTCTTTTGGCCTCTGCAGACTCAAAGCCCTTGAGAGTGATATCAGTGGCTTGTCCATTGGGAATCTCATTGATTCCCAGACTCACCCTCCATACATAAGGTGGTTCTTCTTTTACGTCCAATGTGTAGGTTTGTTTGGCCACTGAAGGTAGGACCTTGTCTTCAGGGCCCACAGTTGTTACACTAAAACATGGATGTTCTGAGGCCACATCCTCAGACTGATTCCAGGGTACATACTTGGCCATTCCTGGGCCAGTATATGATTGCAGGATGCCTTTTCCAGTTCCTCGAATAGTCCTGCTCTCCTTTGGTTTTACTGGGAAGAAGAAAGCACGAGGCTGAACACTGTGGCTTCTCTGCAGTTGATATGGATGGTACCTTGAGAGCTCATGGCTGGCAGCAGATGGAGGGGCTCTTTGGGTTTCCTTAACTTCTGAAGATGAGTGTTCAAACAGAGGATTTCGCAGCCTGCCAGATGATACAGTTTCTACCTTTATCCCTCCTGGATCTTGGTGATGCAATTTTTCTAGTATCATGGCAGCCTTGGAGTAGTATTCAGCCTTGGAAGCACATGGTAATCTCCCTTTGTGAATCACAAAATGGTGTGTGATGTTTGATTCCAGCTTCATTTTAGTATTTGGATCAAGGAAGGAGAGGTCCTGGCTAGTATTTATAGAGAGCAGCTCATCCGTCTTCAGAGCAGGGTTCCTGGGTTCCAGACCCTTCCCAGAGGTGCTGCCTGAAGTGCAAAGCAGATCTTTGGCCCCAACCCTGAGACTCTTTTTAAGAATATCAGACTTAGCTATAGCCTTCTTTAAGGGAACTACTGTGGGCATGGATCCTGCCATCTGGCTGCACTCGTAACTTTTGGAGATGAGCATAGATGGCTGGGCAGGCTGGTTGAGTTCAGGCAGGTTCTTGCAATAACCATCACTGTTTGGTTGGGAATCTCCCTGAAGCTCTGTCAGTTCACTAGATGGGAAGACTCTGACATGGGCTCCTTGTTGTTCTCCCCCATTAATTGCCTTCCCTTCATGCTGTGGCTCCTCATGATGGTAGACCATTTGATAATGCTCAGGAAGGATGGAGGCTGACCTGATAGTTTTAGTGGGCAGGGTGCCTCTGAACATGTTGTCATTGGGCTGGCTAATGTCTGTTTGAGATTTTTGGACATTACAGTCTGCAATGTCGTTCCAATGTAGTTCCTGTTGACAGAGCTCATTTACATTTGGAAGGGATACCTGTATTCCTACCTCAGTTGTGGGACATGTTCTTCTACGGGCCCTTCTCTGGAATGAAGAAGGTGTTTGGTTTGTTACAGAGCTTGGGAGGTTTTTGAGTTCTTGGACCCCTGTCACACCTACCAAGCGTGGTGTCACACGTTGGTTCGGCAATGACTGGTCCTGGCAAAGTTTTGGAGGTTCTTGAGTCAGAGATAAATCTTCAGTGGAGTCACTTGGTTCACTAAACCTCACAGATTTTCGTCCTCCTGAGGATTTCTTGGAGACCCAGGCAGTAGCCACAACTGACTCAGAGAGCACAGTGGATATGCCCCATATAATTTGGTTAAATTTCTGCTGAATAAGAACTTCTAAGACCTTGAGGTAAGAAAACAGCTGAGGGAGGGAAAGCTGATTCAGTTTCTCTTTAGAGTACCAAAAGGGTCCCAGAGAGGAGTGCAGTAAAGGATGCTGGATAGGCCTTTCCATAGGTCCAGATGCATTCTGGGTAACCTGAACATTCCTTTGGCTGTTTCTGAAGCATTTTGCAGTAGTAGTTTTCTTCCTGGGCTTGCTATGCCCCCTCTTCAAAACCTGCTAGGTAGAAACAACACAAATGAGCTGGGGTCCCTTTTTCTTTCTTGTAGACAAGCTGCCTGCTCACTGTGCTCATGGTTAACACGAAATCCACATTTCTCAGAGACCTTCCTCTCTTTCATACTTGACTCATTCATACTGTGAATAAACACATTTCCTTTTGTCCTTGTTGGGAAAACAGCAGAAGGCGTGGTGTTTGTCACACTTACTCCCTCTATCCTCAGTGTTCCTCAGACAGGATCCCTCAGACAGGATCCTACCCAAGGCTCAGGTGATATCTATTTCCTCAGATCACAGGAGACCCAAGTCCTGGTCTGATGCTTTTGGTCTCATCACCTGCTTCACATCAGCTCAACACAAACAAAACCAAGTGCCTAAGAAGAGGGCAGATGACCTTTCCCAGAGCTTGTCCTGTGTCCCCACCAACTCAGAAATGCACTCTGTCCATAGAGCCAAGGTCCTCCTTACTGGCCTCTCTGCCACCCCATATATATGGTCTGAGAGCTTCAGTCAGACAGCTCAGGCCACTCTCACTTCTGTTCTGACTGCAGACGTATGTGCTGCTACTCCTGGAGATTTCAGCCTCCCTGTCTGTAGCTAGACTTTAGGTTCTTCTTTTTCCCATCCTTCTCCACCTCTTTTCTTCTGCCCTTTCAATTCCCTAACACTAGATAAGAGAGAAAAAAAGGATGGAGGGGGGAAAGGGGAGACGTTATTGTTAGACTATTTCCTACTATTTAGGAGGGGTTAGTTCCTTTGGGACATGTTTAATCTTGACCTTATGGATATCAACTTCTTCTTTCTTCTTTTTACACCTCTACTTAACAAACTACAAAAACCAAAAACTGATGGCAAACGAACAACAACCAACAACCAACAATCCACCATAACTCTCAAGGCCTTAGTATTTATATACCCTCTGAAAAGTCCCCAGGATTCCAAACATTACACAAACACAGAAACTATCTGCTGCTGACACTGCTAGAGCATGAGGCAAATCATAGTCAGCTACTGTGGACAATCTGAAACAACCCCATATCCTATACCTGTGATTCAAACAAAAATATATTCTTATAATTCTGTTTCTTAAAAAATACCAAAATTTTTCACTAAATCTGCTTTTCTAGAGAATGTGAAAGTAACAATCATGAACAAAAGTCTGTCTCTCTGTTGTCTGTTAACCAAGACTTTCCTCACCTTTGGGATGTTCCTTTCTCTCTCAGATGGTGGTGACTCTGGATAATCCTTCGAGAATGGGATGAGTAGGTAAAAGAGACCCACCCCACACAAAAAGGCAAAGCTCATGTCCACTATCATGGACATAGAGCTGGGAAACTTCCACAAATCATTAATGCTATTCACTAGAAGGAGAATGCTCTCCATCTTCTGAATCGCAGTGCAGCTCTCAGGCTACTGAATCCTGGAGGACAGCATCTGACTTGTCAGGAGGGCTCAGGCCGCATCACACAGCTGAGGCCTCCTCATCACAAAGGGCTACTGGCAGAAGGGAGGGTACCATGGCCCCTCCCCAGCCTCCACCCAGGGAGCCCCACCCACCTCCTGGGTTTCTCTACTCCCTCTTTCCAAATCCTGCTGCTGAAAAAGTCAAAGATATATTTCTGTTTATGTATTGTTTCTCTGCCTGAGCCCCAGTATTCTTTTACCTTCTATCTGCTTGAGTCCATGAGGGTTTTAGTTTTTGACAAAGTGGATTTCCCTATGAAGCTTGGGTTGTTTCTTAGGGATTCTTACTCTTAGGATGGTTTCTGACTGCACATCCAGATCTCTTCATTCTGAGGTCATAGATTATCTTTTTTTTCCAGTAAATTAGTTTTTATTAATTGTTTTATTTACATACATTTCAAATGTTATCTGCCTTCTCTGTCCCACCTCCATGAAACTCCCATCCCATACACCCTCACCTTTGCCTCTAAGAGGGTGTTCCCTCACTCCCACCCCCACCCACCACTCAGCCCTATAGTATCTCCTTTCTCCGGACATCATGTTTCCTCAGGACCAAGCACACATCCTCCCACTGAGGCCAGATAAGGCAGTCCATTGCAACATATGTCGAAGAAGCAAGGGACTGGCCCATGTGTGCTCTTTGGTTTGTGGCTTAGTCCCTGGGAGCTCTGAGGGGTCTAATTAGTTGATACTCCTGTTCTTCCTATGGTGTTGCAACCCATTTAGCTCCTTCAATCCGTAAATCTTCCAGTGGGGTCCCCAGGCTCCATCCAATGTTTAGCTGTGAGTGTCTGCATCTGTCTTAGGTGCTGGCAGAACCTCTAAGAGGACAGCTATACCAGGCTTGTGTCTCTCAAGAACTTCTGGGCATCAGCAATAGTGTAGAGGTTTGTTGTCTGCAGATGGAATGCATCTCAAGGTGAGGTAGTTTCTGAGTGGCCTTTACTTTATTCTCTGCTCCATTTTTGTCCCTGTGTTTTCTTTAGACAGAAAATTTTCTGGGTTAAAATTTTGAGATGGATGGGTGGCGATCCCTCAACTGGGGACCCTATCTATCTACTGGAGTGGTGTCTTCAGGTCCTATTACCCTGCTGTTAGGCATTTCAGCTAATGTCATCCTCATTAGGTCCTAGGAACCTCTCCTAGATACATTCCTGGTATCTGGGACTTTCTAGTGGTTTCCCTATTCCCTACCCCACACTGCTGAATATTTCTATACATTCTCCTGGTCCTCTGTGCCTCTCTCCTGTTTTCCCCCATACCTGATCTTTGCCACCCCTTTTTCTTGTCCCCCATCCCAATTACACACAAGTCCCTCCTTCCCTCTGCCTTCCATGATTATTTTATTCCCCTTCTATGTAAGATTCAAGCATCCACAATTTCGTCTTCCATCTTGTTAAGCTTCGTATGGTCTGTGAGTTGTATCCTGGGTATTCTAAGCTTTTTTGGCTAATATGCACTTACTAGTGAGGATATACAATGTTCTTTTTGATCTGGGTTACATAACTCAATTCATGAGCACTGGCACATTTTTTCAGAGTTCCATGATTTTTCTACAAGCGCCCACTTTGTGGCACACAACAATCTGGAGCTCCAGATCCACAGGTTCTTAAGCTGTCTTCTGGCCTCTGGTAGAACCAGAATGCACATAGTGCAGAGATTTGTAAGTAAACAAGTATGAAAATATTCAAGCACCCTCCCTGTGTGTGTGTATGTGTGTGTGTGTAAATGAGTGTGTAAAATCCTGCTCTAAATATAAAAAAGAGTAATTATCATCCAAATGTTTTGGTAAACATTGCTTTGTTGAGACTGTGAGGAGTAAATATGTTTTACCTACTGTTAATTTAAATTAGTTCAAGAGGCAGTAAAAGGAAAATATCTGAAAAATAACATAAAAGTATTTTTTTTGATTTAGCAATTCCACTACTAATAATGTATCCATAAGATACACTAGTAAATGCCAAATGGTACGTGTAAAATTTATAGTCATAAAATAATGGAAAGAAAATCATGAGGTAATTAAATATCATACAACTCAACCATACAATGTCATGTTACACCAAACCATAAAATGAAGAATATCTCTGAATACTTTCATGCAGAAGTGGAGGCTTTATAGAATAGGACAATTGAGAGAGAGATGGTTAATATTAATTTTTTAAAGAAAAATATGTTAAAATATAATTAATATGCAGTTTCATTTATGATTCATTTTGTTTCTAGAACACGATAATTGTTCTTTAAAGAGATTACTCTTTGCTTGCAATTATATAAATTATTTATATAGGTTCAAAGTAAAATCTTCAAAACAAGTTCTATTTAGAGAAGTATATTTTCACTTGTCAGCTTCCCCCCTTTTTATAAATTTAATAATAATTTCATTTTTATGGTTTGTAGTTATGCCTTGACTGAAATGTATCTGTGTATGTATATGAATGTATTGGTATAATATACATATTTGTACATATTGCATTTAAAACTATAGAAAAGGTTACTTTAAAACACAAATTCTTAACAATACATACAAAGTAACAAATTTTGGTAAGAAAATGTAAATGCTAAGCAAGCAACATGCAAATAAGTAATCCCCTTACTTGTTTTCAGTAATCTCTTATTCCAGCAGTCCTTGATTTGTTATTGTAAGCTTGTTCTATCAGTTCTGTGGGTTGACTCAAATAAATGTTTGCTTTGGCTCGAAAGCCAGATTTGACTTGAAAGAAAGGACAAATCAGTGTATAATAGTTTCCTACACTGACAGGAACAACTAATTATAACTTAGTGACCTAAAATTAGCAGGTATTCTACTAAAATCCTTGGTTGAAAAAGTCTGCCAACACTCTGCCCAAATCAAGATCTTGGTGAGATTCTACTCTAAATCAGTTTCATTTCATTTCATTTCATTTCATTTCATTTCATTTCATTTCATTGTTTGTGCAGCTACATGCCTTGACAAGTGGTCACAATGGTCTCGTTCTCCTGCTTCAAGTCCAACAATGTAGCATCTTACTTTAACGATCACTATTTCAAGTCTCTATCTTCTTGACTCCTAATGACACCGATGATAACATTTATGGCATAGTCAGATAATACAAGGTAATCACAAATCTTGTGACTTGAATTATGTATGTAATGTTCCTTTGTTGTATATAGCCTTTACATTTTCTGGGTTGGTCATTCAATAGCAAAACACTTTTGTGGCTCTGAATTCAATCTTTGTTATAGCAAGAAAGTAAAACGTAATAACAAAGAAAAGCACAACAAAAATTTCTCACATAATCTCAATTTCTATAGAACATGACATAGGATCTTCAAGAGTTGCTATTAATTTACTATATATAGCTAGCTTTCTAACTAAAAATAGGACAAATAAACCACATGTAGACTTTATTACCCTTTTGATACAATTAAAGTCTAAATTTGTTATTTTGACACTGTAGAAAATTTCATTTAAATAGCATCTTCCCCAAAATCTCCAGTCTCGTGTGAATTAAATGCATTATACAAATCAGACATTGAGAATTTCAATATGACACATCTGTGGTTAAAATTCCTATTTATGAGCTAACAAAGTTAACACTGAACATATTTCTTCCTTGAACATAGTGGAGAGCCAAGCATAGAATAATAATTATAGACATTATCCCTTTCAAAAAGAGGAAATGAACTGGGAAAATAGTTCAGTGGGAAAACCCTTACCAGGAAATCCTGAGGACTAGGCTACACATTCCCTGAACTCACTGTGGATAGAGAGAAACACAAAAAGATAGTCACATAGATATTATAAATGGCTTATATTTTGAAAGGCAGATAATAATTTGAAATATGTAGGATAGATCAGCAGGTTTGAATATTTGGAAAAAGTCTCCTTGCAGCTCTTGTCCACAGGCAATCATGAGGTACATTTTTACTTCCTCAGTGAGCAATGGACTATTTCCTCTTAAAAGTTCAGCTAACTCAACAAGGTCTCTTGGCTCACCTTATGAATCCTCTACTGATTTACACTCTCTGCTAAATATCTGTATACAACTACCTAGACAAGGTCCTAGATAAAGTACTTTTTTCCCCCTCAAGTTATTTAGTCATGTGTATGGGAACTGTATTCACCTTGAGTTCCTGGGACTTAAGGACGGAATGGCTTAAGCAATGCTCTTTTACCCTATAATCCTGTCATCTGCATCTATGAAGACACCCTTAGAAGCATTTTGCTTCTCTTGAATGATATGATGTGTTCATTGTCCAGCACCTTAGTTAGGCTGCCTCCTTTCTGTAGAGATTATTGTTCCACCTTCATTTGGCTTTTCCAGCCTCATTGACAGTGCTTCTAAAAATGATGTACTCTCCGTTTCATTCTCTGTGAGCCCAGATGAGCCTTGTTTACTTGATTTGATGGGTTATGTTCTCCCGATGTCTCCTATCCCCTCTGACTCCTACAGTCTTTCTTCCTCTTTTTCCATATGGGTTCCCAAACTGCAAGAGGGGGTACCGAATATAGACCTGCAATTTTGAAGTTCTCTCCATAAAATCTGCTGGGTGTCTTTGAATCTGTTCCCAGCTGATGCTGGAGGAATCTTCACTTACGACATGTAAGGACAAGACATCAATCTATATGTATATGTCTTAGTGGTGATCCACCTGGATTCTTTGCTGAACTTTCCTTAAAAATTTGCATGTCTAATTTTGGCTGTTGCTGAGATTGCTGAACGAACTCCTGAGTTGCTCTGTTAATCTCTTCAACACTGGAAAACATGTCTGGCTTAACCCTAACTTCCTCATTAAGTCACATTTTCAGTGTATCTTTCCATTTACATGTATATATAATTATAATATAATTTTTCCAAAATTCAGCTAAATCATACTCAATAGTTCTGTCCTCCATTTTCCCCCTCCTTCTTTTCATATGTCCCATAAACACCAAGAAT